AAATTTGGAAATTTGGAAATTTGGAAATTTGGAAAATTGGAAATTTGCAATATTGAAAATTCGAGAATTCAAAAAGTTAGAAATATTGAAAATTTTTAAATGTGTAAATTTTAATATTCATAAGTAAATTTTAATGTTCAAATAATTTAAAATAATAATTTTAATTTTAAATAAAAATTTTAATTCGATATCTCGAAAAGTCTCCAACATTTAGCATCCCACTGCACCTAACCTGTATAATCAGTGCTGTATTAAAACAAATTTACCCCAGATTTCTTCCTACATTTCTTTAATTATATCTCCTATAAAAATATAGGTACATTTGCATAAACAGCCGCAGTCTGACGCAATTTCAATTCGTCGATGACAAGCTGGTAAATTAAAAGGAAAAAGAAGAACCGAGCGGAGGTAAACTCGAGAAAGTAATTAAAATGATGAAAACGAGTGTTCTCATTTTGCAGAATGTTTCGTGAAGCGCGATTTAACTTGTAGATTAATTCGTTCGCGAGGATTTTTCTTTCAATTTTTTGAATCATTATTCGTAATGAGCTCGATATTTCATGTTTCTACGATATATAAAATAAAGAATTATTTTGATACATGTTCCGGCTTCTTTCATTCTTATTTTAGTTGAACATGTGACGAGGACAATTTATCTCGACAGCCACGAAACAAAAAGATTCGTTCTCATTCGTGGATTAATTAAAAGTACTAAGGTGATTTGCCTATCTGCAATGTTAATTAAACGTGGATGATGAAGAACATGCATTGTGCGTGTTTCATATGTTTTTTACCGTCATTCACACATGGAACATTTCAGTTTAATACTATCCTGGAAATATCTTTTGCTCGCTGCACCTTGTTCAATGAATTTCAAAGCATTCTCGAATCTCTGTCGCGATCATGTTTTGTGCTTATAACAAATAATTTATTTGTATTTTGTGACTTGTACAGATAACTGTTACTTCAGGTATAATTAATTGTTTCAAGAGTAATTTATTAAACGTATATTTACTTTAAGTAGAAAATAAACTGCAAAAATAATAAATAAAAAAATTTACTAAACACAGTGATTTCTTATTTCGTTAAAAATCAATCTTCGTATTCACAAAATTACTTTATGACAGTAATTGCTATGATTGAAGAAAATCACACACTTATTTCTCATGTCTTAACCTTACGTAACGAATTAATTCACTAGACTGATCACCTTTTAGTATTCACCAAAAAATTGTTACCAATGAAAAATATTTATTGCAAACAAAAATCCACTTGACTTAATTAAATATCTTCTATTACAAGTATAAAAGAGAAATGACTGATCAAAAAATTTAATTGAAGCCTAATATTAATTATATTTAAGGATTTTATGAATTCACAGATTGGAGTCGACAACGCCGTCAACGAAGAAAAGGCACTCAGCTCGAAAACAGAATCACGATGTTTCACACTCATCGATCAACGCCACGAAACAATCAGTTTCGAGATCGTCTCAAGAAGTCGATTTTTCCACGAGCACCGATAGCACCAATCAAATGAAAGATACAAACATGAAGAACATAGAGGAGGTGTTCACGGTTCAACCGGAAAACAACACGCAAAACGTATCGAAGAGACGACATCGACGCCATCATCGTAGAAGGTATGATTGAAATGGTGCTTTTATTTGTGTTAATATAAACATTTCCTAAGGGAGAACTTTACACATATGCAAAAATCGAACAATCATGGGTGAACGCGACGACTGCTGTAAGTGAAAAAAAGCGTATGTGGTCAGACAGATTGTAATATGAAAACGAAGACGTAAATTAAGAATAGAGATATTCTTTTATTTTTCTAATCAAATTATCAGACTCTTCAAAAGATAATGCTAGATTTGTAAAAAGTCTAAAATAAAAAGTGTGAAAATTGAACTTCAATTTATTAAGTTCTACAACGATCATTTTATGACAATAAAAATACAATTTAACATAACCTCGTTCTGTAATCATTCCACTCGTGATATATATAATAATTCGAAGGCTGTTGATTTTACTTTCTATAAAAGAGAATGATTGACCCATTTTGACAAGAGGTCTTTAACGTCCAACATTCATTCAGAAATTGAAAAAAAAGCATTCGATATCCAATGGAGTGGCTTGCTGCTGGCTTCGATAATAGAGTCCGCTGCTTTAACTCGCACCCTCCCTATCATCAACAATTTTCCGCTGGTAGAGCTACTATGCCAATAACAATGGCCGTCACCGTAAAGCTAGAAAATGGGGACCGATACTGCCGGTCGGGCATTTTCAGCCCTTAAACTGCCAATAACCTGTCAGCATCGGCACTAGTGTCTCTGATCGGTTGTAGTTGTGTTTGTGTACAGATTATGTACGTCTCTGCGGCAAAGCTTTCGGGAATGAGGCTCAAAAAGGGGGAAACAAAGGTATTGAGAAAACCTAGTCGTGATAATCATTTTTCATCGATACTTTAGGGTAAGTGTTACATTGCAGTTGTTATATTATACCGTTGTTAGAACGGTGAAGTAACACATACGATTTTCTGAAAATTGTAATTGCGTGTTATGCAAGTTTTCAAATTCTTAAATTTCCATATTCTCAAATTCACAAATTTCTGAATTTCTAAAATTCCTAAATTCCTAAATTTTCAAATTTCCATATTTCCATATTTCCATATTTCCAAATTTTCAAATTTCCACATTTCCAAATTTCCAAATTTCCACATTTCCATATTTCCAAATTTCCAAAATTCCTAAATTCCTAAATTTCTAAATTCCTAAATTCCTAAATTCCTGAATTCCTAAATTCCTGAATTCCTAAATTCCTAAATTCCTAAATACCTAAATCTCTAAATTCCTTAATTTCTAAATTCCTAAATTCCTAAATTCCTAAATTCCTAAATTCCTAAATTCCTAAATTCCTAAATTCCTAAATTCCTAAATCCATAAATTTCTAAATCCCTAAATTCCTAAATTCCTAAATTCCTAAATTCCTAAATTCCTAAATTCCTAAATCCCTAAATCCCTAAATCCCTAAAACCCTAAATCCCTAAATTCCTAAATTTCCAAATTTCTAAAATTCCAAATCCTAAAAATAATTATGAATTAACAAATAAATTCGTCACAGAAATGTATCTGATTTTCTCATAAATTTTCTTGGCAACACGTACAACAGTCAGCAGGTTTTGTCATGGCTTTTCCATTCCTCGTTCGAAATAGGCTTACGAAAGCGTTTGTTTATAGCCTGTATTCGACACCCGTGAAACACGATCGTACTGTGATTCTCCAATGAAGCTCCAGTGAATTCTGGAGAGGATCTAGCCGGACTTGATACCTTTGACGTGGTTAAGCCTTGTATCCGCAGAAATTTCTATCCGCCTACATCTCTACTACCTCTCGACCATTCAGTACCCTTTAATTTTAAATGATTCGAAACGATTGCAATCTCTTCATCTTCAAACTTTTTACCAATTCCTTAATTTTCGCAATTTTTATTACATGACGCTTGAAATTATTCTGAATAATATAAATAATATTATAATTTATTGGATCTATGTTTTTACACATTTTTAGCCAATTTTTTAGAATAAATATTAAGTAACTGTAACGAAATATCAGTATGTAATACAACTGACCAATATTATATCGATTAGTACACAAACAGTAATTTGGTAGTATTTCCTATTTGATATTTTTAGTTTATTTGCAAATTTTTATTTGTCATTCCTTTATTTGTCATTTTTTTTATTTGTCATTAAACGTAGTTTGTCATTATTTTGAGTGGATGGCCAATTGTACTGAATATATTATATTAATGATACAGGGTGACGAGTACCTCACGTCGCCGTCACTTCGGATCTTTAATATCTACAGGAGTACTGTATCTAGCAGAGTTTCTGGTAACTCAGCAAACAACTGCGTTCCCACAGTAAACACGGAACCGAAAATCTAAGTCACTCAAGGAGTTTAGAATCTAAGTATCATACAACTTCGATTTTTCACTCTCTACCACTTATTGTTCACTTTGATACTCTTATAATCCGTTCCGAAGGTCGACGACGCACGGTACTTGGATTTTCAACTCCATGTTCCTTGAGTTGCTTAGATTTACCCTCTGTTTGCCATCAAGTCTTAGAAACTGTTTGCTCAGTTCTCAGGATCTTAATCAGACATACACGTATTACAGATACTACAGATTCGTCCGTAAGGTCACTCATACACGGTACTTGGATGTTCTAGGTTCTTTAAAATTATACTGATTTTCAATTCGATGAAATTGCAATTTGATACTGTTTGTGAGTTTTAACTATTCACGCTAAGATATTCACGTTAACATCAAGGCCTATCAGTTTTTATGGCAGGTGTGTCAGTCAAAGCCTAATTAGTGCAGCGTTAAGATAAATAAGTAACATTGAAATGTTAGGTATATTTTGAATTAAGCTTAGATATATTTTTGGGTCTTCAATTGTACCAGCTGCGATTGGTATCATACTCAAAACTCGATCATCATGCAAGCATTTAGTTTTGTCACATTTGTAACGTCACGAGTCTGACTCGATGTCCAAGACTTAATATTGGTTAGAATATAAATATTAAACAACTAATATTATTTGTTTAAAATGAACCACTCATTAGTATCGATGTTAACTGCGAGTTAATACTGCAGAAATACCACCGTTACAAACGTCAATGGAATAACATCCGGCCGGTAAAAAAAAGAATTAATTACTTTTGCCGTTAGTTCCGTTGAGCTAGCAATAACATCGACCGGTAGGAAATTCCAATGAAGAAAAACGAGGAGAAACGCATTAATTACCGAACGATAAGAAAGTTTTTGAGGGCCGCTTTTTTCCTTCGCCCTCTTGCGAGAGCAGATCCTCTGGCAGTTGTAAATTTCAGTCGTCTTGGAGTATATCGGACAGAAAGGACGGCCAAGACGCATTAATTTCACCGTGAGTCCAATCTAATCGGGGCTTAAGCGTTTTTCATTGAAGAGATCCGTGAAGGTGATCGTGGCCACGAGAGTAGCCCTCGTCCTATCGATCTTTTTCTCTCCGTCTCGATTGCTCCCTGTTCTCGTTTCAACTTGTTCGAGAATGAAGAGGCAAAAAGTGGCGCGCACAGAGAGGCACGAAACGGCGGGAGAAATCGGGGGAAAAAAAAATTGTTGGAACGCAGAAAGACGGAAGAGGAGTGATTTATCGAGATCGGCCGAGGGAAAAATTTCGTATTCAGCGAATACGTCGTTCGATCGCTAGTGGATCGGTTGCCGTAACTCATCATTTTCCACTGTCCTTCGTGACTTCCGTTCTGCAATCCGTATCTTCCGTCCTGTACCTCCCCACAGACCGCCGTTTCCTTTTGTTTTATTTCTTTTTCCCTTAGTTACCGCGGCTTCGAGATTATCGTGCTTGTTGCCTGTTACTTGGATCAGCGAGCGTTGGCAGAAAACCGAGAATTCCAGGAACGTGAACGATTAAAACGAGACTTCTACAAGTGATTACATTTGTTACTACCACTACTAGCGACTTGTATTTGCAAGCTTTTCGAGGTTTAAAAAGAACCACAGTTCATAAATTCATTTGTTTTCAGATATAAAATAGTGAAGGATTATTTAAATTGTAATATTAAAGCTTACTTATAATATTAGATAATCACAAGGTTCACATCATATGTGTTATAAAATTATAACGTTATTATTACATGCGATTCATATTACCGACACAGTAATTTCAAATATTTCTGTTTGATATAAAATGTTCTTAGTTCACTTCAAAGTATCTCAGGAATAAATTATTTAAAACATGGAAAGAACAGTAACGTGTTCGAAATGTAAACCGAAAGGGTAAGTGATGAACAACAGCATGAGACAAACGAGAGACGACAAAAAAGGGAGAAGACCACACGAGCCGTGTTTTTATTACGATGATTGATGACAAATCACGAATTCGTTGAATTCCAACGTGCCGGTGGATTATTTCGGTATGGCGAGGACACTGATATATTATATTGTGGTTTATTGCTTGCTGGTTAGAGGAGACGGTGGCGGTGGTGGCTCGTTTAGGGGTGGAGATGGATCGACATTCGAAGGGGTGGTAACTAGCGCACGTCAAAGCTAATAGAATGATCTATGCGTCTCGCGATCGTTTGATTGAAATCCACGTCGTGTTGGCCGATGCGATGGAACCGAAAGCCATTCTCTGAATGCCGTGCCAAAGAGGAAGGATGACATTTTGAAAAGGGTGTGCAGCTGAGTCGCATGACTTTGCATTGAATCGAACACCCGGTTCCGTGGAATTTCAACGGATTCTTGTGATTTACCCTAACACTGATAGTGTTTGTCAAATATGCATCGAATCTACATAGCTTCTCTATCACATTATTCAATTCTAGGTGCTTTTTTTTGGTCTGAAAAATTGATGATCAGGAAAAATAATTCAGAGAGAGCTTTATTACTGAAGTAATTAGGTACAAGTTAGAGGAAACCTCTTAAGTAGGTGATATAGTTTTCTACAACTGTAGAATGTATGGCAATGTAACGTGTAAGCATGTGATGCATATCGATATAATGTATATACATACAGTAGAAATCTAATCTAACGACTATCTAACAAGTGGTAATTTAACAAATGGTAATGCAATCA